AAACCAAAAACAACCTAGCATGCTGTAACCAAAAAAATAGGGGCAGGGATCCACTTTAGACAAGGTGTCTGAGAGCTGGCCTGTGGCTCATTTGGGAGACCATGGTGCTGTTAACACTGAGGTCAAGGGTTTGGATCTCTTTATAATGGCCAGCCGCCAAAAAACCGAAAACCAAAAACAAAACAAAAGACAAGGTGGTCAAAGAGCACATAGATTTGTGATCTGAACGTGAGAGCTGCCATACCAAGAGACAGGGTATGAGCTCACTCTCCATACAGAGGGAACATTCAGGACAAAGCCCCAATTCAGGGGCAATCCTGGCATGGTTGAAGAACAGACAGAAGGCCAGTGTGATAGGTTCACAGTGATGGAAGTGTGGTGGGGAGGCAGTAGGAGACCAGCAGTGGTGGGAGCTGATGCTGGAAAGATGGGCAGGGCCATATACAGAAGCCTGTAGCTTTGATAAGGAGTTTGTGTTTTATTCTGATGGGAAGCCATTGATGGTTTTAAAGAGGGCATCCAATTGGAGTTTTGGAAAGATCTCTCTGGCTGCTCTGTGGAGAATAAACCCTAGGAGGGCAGCCATCCTGGCGCCAGTTGATAGTAGCTCAGACCTTGGCAGTGGCTGTGTGGATGGAGAAAAAGAACAAATCCAAGTTACTGGACTCAGAGATGCTGACTCATGCTAACTCTGATAAGAGGGCCTGATGTATAAACCAGATGCCAGTTGATTCATTTTTAAGGAGTGGTGTGACTGACTGCCAGGTGGAGTGGATATTGCCTCAGCTGGGCTTGAACACCCTCTCCCTACAGTCCATCCAGATGGAAAGCCACAGCGTGAGAGGGCTGCTTAGTGCCCCTGGAAGGTGAGTCAGGGGAGTCAGACAGTGGTTGCAATGTTGAAGAGCATCTGATGCTGGCAGCCTGCTGGGCCAGCACCCCGAGGCCAGACGAGCAACCCCAGCCTCACTGGGTGGGCCCCTCTGCCCCAGACAGGGCTGGCGCGGGCACTGTCAGCATTTGCTTCTCTGGCTGACCTTTCCCTTTTCTAATCCTGTGCATTCGGCCTTTCATATGTTAGTGTCATCAGTCTGGCTGTGCTGGCCTCTGTCTCTTAGAACATCTCTTTCTCCATCCATTCTGGGCAGGCACTTCTGAACTCCAGTTCTCAGGCCACTCCTCACTGAGACTTCCTATTACTGCATGTAATTATAGACCTGACCTCTCAGGGTTGTTTTATTGGTTGCACGCCATGCTTAGTACTCTCTCGTTATTTTCCTGAATCTCCATCACCACCTTGAGAGGGTGGGAGGAGTGTCTTCATTTTATAGAAGAGGCAACCGAGGCTCAGAAGTGAAGTCACTTAGGGCCGGCCCAGTGGCGCACTGGAGAGTGCGCCGCTTGGGAGTGCGGCGGTGCTCCCACCGAGGGTTCGGATCCCATGTGGAAACTGGTTCCCGCTCACTGGTTGAGCGCGGTGCGGGCGCAACACCAAGGGTTGCGATCCCATTGCCGGTCCCCGGTACGGGCGCGACACCGAGGGTTGCGATCCCGTTACCGGTCAGTAAAAAAGACAAAAGAAAAAAAAGAAAAAAAAAGAAGTGAAGTCACTTGTCCGAGGTCACAGAATGAGCAGGTATTGGAGCTGGGCTTTGGGTCAAGGTCTGCCTGACTCGAAAGCCTGTGCTCTTAACCACTGAGCAGCAGGGCTCTCTGCCCTGCTTCCCCGTGAGAGATCTACAAATGACTCTGAAATCTCTGGCCCCCAGCAGCACTCGATGGCGGGAATCCTGTCCTTCTCCAATAAGCAGAGTGATGCTTGTGACTCTTACAAGGCTGCCTGCACCTCCCTAGTTTTTTCGCTTCTCCCCAGCTCCAACCTGTCCCTCCTGCCAGGCTGTTTGGAGCTCTCTTTTATAGGCTTCTCATTATGAGGTATCAGAATGTCAAGGTCTCTTCTCTGTCCCCTGCACAGCCTCCTTGTTCCCATCTCTGGTCATTTGCCCACATGGTGATTCAGCCCAAATGCCCTCCCTGCTATCTCCATCTAAATTATCCCTTTTTTAAAAACCTAAGTCCACCTTTACCCCTTACCCTAGAGGCCTTCTTTGGGAACTTCAGGTCACATTCCAGACTACCAGATCCCCAGCTTCTTCCGAGAGGCTGAACTATACACTGGCAAATCTAAATCACATCCTGCCTGAGTGTTTAACCATTTCCTGGGTGAGCATCATCCTTTCACGTTGCAACGAGCTCCACAGGAACCAGCACTTGCTTCCCCGCTGAGTCCCCTATGGTGCCTAGCCCTGCCTGCCCAGCCAGCAGGCTCCATCAGTCTGCACAGACCTGGGCCTGGGCAGAACTGTGGCCCCCTGGCAGGCTGTGTCAGAATGCAAGGCCAGGTTCTTGGTTCCCTTTCTGGGGCCTAGTGAGAGAATTATGCTGTTATCCTTGGACTTGTGAAATAAAGATTTTATCATAAGTTTAAAAAATAATAGTGTTATTTTTCTTTTTAATTCATATTAAAAAAGATTTAAACAGATGCTATTTATCTTCTCATCCTGTCATACCAAGCCATGTGCATCAGAAAAATTTACTTTTTAACCTCTAATTTTTTTTAATCATACAAGGAATCTCCAATTATAATAAAAAAATCAAGAACTACAGTTAAACAGAAAGAAGAAATAATAATAACCTGTATTCTTGCCAGCCAGTTAATATTTTGCTGAATTTTCTGTGTGTACCTGTGTGTGCGTTAATTAAATTAGGGTCAATCTGTACAAACTGTTGTGTATCCAGCTTTTTCACTCAATATTTCCCATGATTTTTTACATCATCTCCTTTTTTACTGTCTAGAGTGGATGAGCCATCATTTATCTAACTAGCCCATGGCCATGGGGTTCAGTGGTGGCTCCTGCAACCTCCTTGGCTTTCTGCCTGGGCCTGAGTGCTTTCTCCTTCAAGGGGATTCTGTTGAGGTTTGCTTGAGGTAGCAAAGTGCAGTGGAGAGAAAATGGACCCAGACTTAGGATGTGGGGAGGCAGGAGGCTGGGTGGGGAGCGGAGTGGACAGAGGAACCAGGGAAACCTGTCTGAGGAAATGACTGTCACTCATGTCTTTTTTGCTCTCTGAGTCTTACCTGTAAAAGAAGAGGCAGGAATAGATCTAGTGGTCTCAAAAGACTTCCAACTTCTCTCATCTGTGGTTCTGAGAGTGCCAGGCATTCTCTGTCAGCAGGCTCTGCTGGAGACCTGTGCAGGGGAAGACTGGGATATTTATTTAAGATTGCTTCCTGGCTATTTCCAAGAAGACTCAGGCCCAGGAAAAGTTCCGAGAGTCTGGGCTGAACTCAGACTGAGGCCGTCCAAAGGGGAGGAGTGGGCTGCCTGGGCCCATTAGGGTCTTCTGGATTCTGATTCTCACAGCAGACAACACAGATGAGTCTGTGGATTTTTTTTTTTTAAAGCAAAATTAAGTAGGCATTTATTTTAAGGTTTCTTGCCTATAGGCCTTATCTAACATAATGACCCTGATATCCTCAGGTGCTGGCTTACAGAAGATCCCGTCAGGCAGACAGATTCCAATTTGCCCCTTCCCAGGCTGAGAGCTCCCCTAGAGCAGCTCTTGTTGTTTTGTGTCCTAGCCCAGAGTCAGCGATGGAGCCTTTATTTAACTGTGACTTTAAGTTATACCCATAAAGCCCAGGGTAATGACTTGAGTGGAAAGCATTTCTGGGAGGGGATGAGGTCATGTGGTCCAAGGCCTTCCCTTCCTCTTCATCTTCTTAATAGCATCAGTAACAACAAACCCTCTCATTTGTACTATGAGCTTCAGGTTACAAAGCATTCCACTTGTTATCCACTTTCTGGTGACTGAAGATGCTTGTGACCTGTCCAGGGCCCTGGACCTCTCCTGTGGCTGAGTGGAGCTCCTGGGGCCTCTGACTTTCTACCCAAAGCCCTTTGCTTTGGGCCAGGCTGGTGCCATTGGAATGCAGGGATGGAAACTGAAGAATAAAAAGGAAGTGTGGGGTGGGGAGCCTGGAGCATATGGGTGCCCAGGGTGGATCCCATGTCTGGCTGTCTGGCTGCCCATCAGAGACCTCCAATGGTGGATAAGGTGGGGGAGGGGGCCTGCCAGGTCTAGTCTGGATCTTTCTCATGTAGTATAACAGATTTAGGAGAAGCGTCTAGATTCAGGGTTTCTTTAGAGGGTTCTTATCCATTTCTCTGTTTTGCTAGTTTCAGCTTCAGTTTTTTTTGAGGATCCATTCATTGTGGTCAAGAATGGATGCTTTTGCTGTTTAAAAAAACAAACCAACCAACTTGTGGGTCATTTCAAAAACTGTTCTTTTGACTTAATTTTTGTACCTCTTGAGCCTTTTCATTCTAGCTTGGTAAGCCCTTGTGACCTCAAAGCAAAATTCATCACCCTAAAGCCACAAGGGGTCAAGGAATCATCTAGCCATCGAAATCACACCTCCCCTAATTCACGACAGCCCCAAGGTATGGTCTTGGCCAAGCTCACTAAGGCCAGAACCCCATGAGTCCTGACTCTGCCACTGACTCATGGGGCTCAGGTCTCCCTTCCCTCCTTTAGATCAGTCCACAGCTCCCAGCCTCATGCTAGATCCAGTGATGGATGAAAAAGAGACCAGACAGATGTCCTGATAACTCAGGCACTGTTCTAGGGAGACAGGACAGCTTTGGCTATTGGGTTTGGTTTTGTGGGATGCTCCTGCCTACAGAGACTGCCAATGGCAGTAGCCTGCAGGGAAGAAGTGGACCCCTCCCATGAGCCCACCCTGTCGTACATGGAAACTCTGGCTGTCGTCCTATACACACCAACCATAGACCCTGGTCACCCCCTGGGTCTTGGAGGGCAGCGACTCATTTTGGGGTCCATCATAGCCCCAGCAGCCTCCTTACTGGTTCTCATTTGTATGAGAGGCCATGGTTTCAGGTGCACTGACCAACTCTTCCCTTGTTGGACCTACAGAGCCTAGACATGGAGGAGAAGGACTACGGCGAGGCCGACGGCCTGTCAGAGAGGACCACACCTAGCAAGGCTCAGAAATCGCCCCAGAAGACTGCCAAGAAGTACAAGAGTGCCATCTGCCGAGTCACTCTGCTCGATGCCTCTGAGTATGAGTGTGAGGTGGAGGTAGGGGAGCACCCAGTGCCATATGTCTTCTCCAGTTGGCTGGCCTCAGCTAGGACAAGTTCCTGTGCGTACCAGCCTGGGCCAAACCAGGGGGTTCCTGGAAAGACTGCAGTGTCCGGAGAGATGACCTGGCCTGGCCCTTCTTTGTACAGATGGTGGCACCGACACCCAGAGAGGGCTGTTATGGTTGCAAGTAGAATGAGACAAGGCACAGACAGGACTGGTCCAGGAAAATATTTCGCAGGGTGGCTATAGCTTGACAAGGGTGCCACCACCTAAGTGCTGACCTACAGCCCAGTAGGCCTGGGAACTGGCCTGTCCTATCTCACCCAGCAGAGACTGATGTTTAAACTAGAATCATTTTAGTGTATTTATTGGGTGGAGAGAGGGGTCCTCTCTTCCTTGTGAATACCCCTGTCCAGGGCACCACCTTGCGCTTCCAGGACAAACTAGTCACCTGAGGGTTCCATGGTAAGCACATCACTCAGGCAGAGGGAGGTGGTCTATTGGAAGGACGCACTCATCCAGGCCATGTGGAAGCCCTTGTGGCGTGGCCTTGCCTCACAGCATTGGAACAACAGATGCCTCCTTCCTGGGGTCAGCTTTTCTGGCCCCACGTGTAGTGTTTCAGTTTCCCTTAGAGGCCCAGACTCACATCCTAGCTCTGAGCTCTCATCGCCCCTCTGTGAGCCTTTCTGCCCTCAGAGGTTCTGCCCACTCTAGACACTGTTCCTGGCCACTCTTGCCATGTATAGAAGAGTTCAGAGGGCGGCCTCACTGCTGGGATTTATAGGAGCTACCTCCCTTTCTTGCCTATGCTCTGGCTTTAAGGGATGTGACTGACTTTTGAGCCTTGAGAAACTGGGTCACTCTTCTCTCTAGAGTTTTTGTTTTGTTTTATTGTATATTTCTTCCATGGAAGGGTTTCAGGGTGAATACCTCCCCTACTCCTGGGGCAAAAGAAAGGGCTCTCTACCTTTGCCCTCCTGCCCTCACAGGTCCCAGGATGCTGTTTTCGCCTGTCCCAGAACACGCAGAGGGTGTGGCCAAGGTCAGGTTCACTCCCTCTGACAGACTCTTCCAGGCTGAGGAATTCCTTGTCAGGCCTGGTCCCAGGGACTAGCCAGACCATGTAGGGACCTTAGTCTCTCTCTGGAGTCCCCTACCTCTTTGAGTGGTGACAGCCTCACATTCCCCCTGCCCTGGGATCCCTTTATAGGTGCTTCTCTTCACACCTATGAGTTGGAGTGCTCAGCTCGGGCCTGGGCTTCATTGTTCTAAATCCTCAAGCCTGGAAGGTGGTTCAGAGAGGTCTTAAGCTTGGTTTATGGGGGTATTTCTAACAATGGTATTTCTAGCAGATGCTGATTTAGGCCCCATGAGCCTCTTTAACACCTCTTTTGCTGCCCCGATGGGGGGTGGCACTCTAGCCTGGGCTGCCCTTGATTTCACTCAGTTGAGGGGTGGGGCCAGGGAAAGGACAGTCACAGTGTGACCCTGAGACCTAGACCCTCCCCTTCTCACCCTGTCCACTTCTCTCATATTTTGGGGAGCTCTTCTCTTCCTTCCTCTCACACCCAAAACTTAGGACTTTTGGTTTTCCGCTCCTTGGGTCTGTCAGCCACCTTCTCTTATTCACTCTAAGGGAAGGAGAAATCAGTCACTCCCATACCCCAACTTCAACTTCTCTCCAAACAAGTTCATGGTCTAAAAAGATGGCAACAGAGCTTGGAAGAAGGCTGTTGATGAGCTGGGCATTGGTGTCACCCCCCTTAGGACTCAGAGCTGAGCCAGGTGGGGTGGCAGGAGTGCTGAGTTCCTCTCCAGACACTGGAAGACTTTTGAGGGTTTTTGAGTTGTCCTGGTGGAGCCTTGGGGTATCTCTCAGGCCCACCCTAAGATGTGCTCTGGCCTCATAGCAGCTCTGCTTTCCTCTTCAGAAACATGGCCGGGGCCAGGTGCTGTTTGACCTGGTCTGTGAGCACCTCAACCTCCTGGAGAAGGACTATTTTGGCCTGACCTTCTGTGATGCCGACAGCCAGAAGGTACCCAGGGTGGGGAACAGGGCTGGTCAGGGGAGGCCTGCTCTGGGGGGTAGACCTCTTCCCTTAGGCCAGCGTAATCCTGGGCACATCCATGGCTTCCATCAGTCCGCAGACCTTCATTAGGCACCTTCTGTTTGCATGTCCCCAAGGTTCAGCCAGCCCTGCCTATCTGCCTCACTTCTCTGTCTCCACCCCTTAGTCCCAGTCCTTTCTGGGGGAACTCAGGAGCTCTCAGCCAGTGCCTCTTCCCCACCCTTGCAAGGTTCCTGCCAGAGTTTCCCTCTTCCTGCCAATCCCATTGCAGCTGCATCACTGTAGCTGCCTCAGGGCAAAGCCAGCCCAGGGCACTGGGTCCCAAGCCTGGTGGTGAATCCAGGCTTCGTTTCTCTCACCTACCAGTCCCAAGGAAAAGGGTCCAGAAAGCTCTGTGAGGGAAAGGTGTTCCCTACTAGGGGCTGTCAACCAGCCATCTCAGTATATTTCTCTCTCCTTGCCCAATCCAGGTGCTCTTCTCTATCTTCCCTCTAAGAGCTCTCTCTTTTCTTTCAGAACTGGCTGGACCCCTCCAAGGAAATCAAGAAGCAGATCCGGAGTGAGTGGCTTGCTATGGTTGGGGATGCCATGGATGGGCGGGCAGGGGCTCCAGGCCATGAGGGCCCCACGTGTACTGCTCCCACCTACTTTGTGCTCTCAGACCTATGAGTTCATTTGCTCTGCATGGCAGATCTTGGGAAGGCAGGGCAGGAATGATTGTTGACTGTTGTTTTGTAGATGATGAGTCTGAGGCCCAGCAAAGAACTGAATGTACAGAGTCACACAGCGTGTTAGCATAAGAATCATAAATGCATTCAGAATGTAAGCACTAGAAAGGACCTGCAGAGTCATCTAGGACAAGAAACAAACAGGTGGCCTGGAAACAGCCACTCTCCTGTCCAGGGCTGGTGCAGACTTCAGTAGTCAATGACCCTTTTCTCAGAGGCCGAGAGAGAGACAGTTATTTACCTAAGGTCACAGAGCCAAGTGGTCGCCGAGCCAGGCCTTGAGCCCTGTCTTCCAACACCATCCTGCTCAATGACCCTTTTCTCAGAGGCCGAGAGAGAGACAGTTATTTACCTAAGGTCACAGAGCCAGGTGGTCGCCGAGCCAGGCCTTGAGCCCTGTCTTCCAACACCATCCTGTACTCTTCTCAGGCCTGGGGTGAAGGCAAATGAGCAGGCCAACAATCTGTCCTTTCTGGCCCAGAGGAGGAAAGTTAGAGGGGAGGGGCAGCTTTCCAATAGCAGAAAGGGGAGGTAGATGGCTTCAGCAAGGTGGCAGGCAGCAGGTAGAGACCCGGAGTCTGGAGCAGAGATGCCTTCACCTCAGGCCCTTCCCCCTCGGCTGTGGTTGTCTCTCCTGGACTTCCTGGTCCCCTGGCTGGGAAGCTGTAGCTGAGCCTGTTGCCATGACAGCAGGTAGCTGAGCCCAGGGATGCCAGCTGACTCTGCAGGGGGGGCTTAAAGAATTCTTCCCGTAGTTTCCTGTCAGTTGGAGACAAAGAGGCAGGTACACGGACAGAGCATGCTCCTCTGGGGGCTGACAGGGTCCTAGGTGTGGGCTTCAGGCTGTCCCGCAGGAGCCCTACTCTGCAGGGGGGGCTTAAAGAATTCTTCCCGTAGTTTCCTGTCAGTTGGAGACAAAGAGGTAGGTACACGGACAGAGCATGCTCCTCTGGGGGCTGACAGGGTCCTGGGTGTGGGCTTCAGGCTGTCCCGCAGGAGCCCCAGCCCAGCTGGGAGGCCTACCTCTCAGGCCTGAAGGAATTAGAGCACATACAGGCAGCCAAGTGTGTGGTGTTCAGTAAGGACCAGGAGCTTGAAAAAGAGGCAGCCAGATCGAATCATCAGACCTCAGCATCCCTCCCCAGAGCAAGCCTGCGGCCCTGGCCAGCATAGCTCAGGCACAGTGGATGGTTCCTCCTTGAAACCACCTCAAGTCATCGAGGAGTAGTCTTGAACCTTAGCAAGTGCCTCCTCCAGTAGAGCCACAGTCTCTGTCTCTACCCCTGTAACTTCCAGCCACTCATCCTAGTCTTGCCTTCATGGGGCCCCAGTGGAGCTATTTTCTTCTGTTTGTGGCAGCCCCTCAGCCTTCTGAAGGTGGCACCACATGTCCTTGTGTCCTGGGCTTCAGGGTTGGGTGTGTCTCCTTCCAAACCTCAGTGTCCATCACCTAGGGCACCCAGGGCAAGTCCTGCACCTCTCTGGGCCCCTGCTTCTCCTTGGCAAGTAGATTAGTAATTCCTGCCTCACGAGGTGGGGGTGACAGTTAAATGACATATGTGTGGACAGTACCCAGCACATAGTAGGTGCTCAGTATCTATTTTCTTCTTGCTTCTCTGAGGCTGTCTGGTGTGATGGATAAATAGACACAGGTACCAGACTGCCTGGATTTGAATCCTGACCACATCACTACTTCTTATGTTATTTCTCTGTTCCATGCCTCAGTTTCCTCATCTGTAAAGTGGGATAATAATAGTATCTGCCTTTATGGTTGTTGTGAGGATTTAATGAATTTTACATGTACAACACCTAGAATGGTTCCTGTACACAGTAGCAACCAGTATGTATTGCTATTGTTATTATTTATTATTACTATTGTCGTTCCTAAGACAGGGAGTGTTTCCCCTGAGGCTGCTTTTTCCAAGGAGTTGTTGTGGTCAGGAGCCTGGGCTCTGGGGTCAGATGACCAGAGTTTGGATCCCTGTTCTCTACCACCAACTAGCTGAGTGATCCCGGGACACTAACTTAACCTCTCAGAATCTTCATCTATAAAAAAGAAAGTCAACCTTACGATGATTATGAAAATTAAATTCCTGCACTTGTGCATAAAATTCTTAGCAAGAAAAGTGACCAGCACTTAATAAGTATTTGAGATATGACAGCTAAATGGTGAAGACAGTGATGACCACAGGGACAAGAATGGTAGTGACAATTCGGCCTCCAGCTCTTCATGACCACAGCCCTGCTCTGGATAGGCCTTGCTTTCTCACTTTGTTACGGGCCTTTTTAGAGCATGGACCCCAAAATGGCCCAGGGGTGGTCTGACCATCGTTCTGGATTATAGACTTTTGTTAATTTTGTCCAAACCCTGAGCCCTATCCTGCCCCTCCATCTGCTCTGATGTGGTTATCTCTTCTCTTGGCTTGCAGAGCTTATTTCCAGCTAAAACCTCAGCCTTTATTCCTTTCTACACCGTATATGTGTGCCATCAATTTTTCATATCTAAATGGGTAGGTTAATATTAACCTATAAGATATCCTTTTGTTCCTATTAGCCCATTGTATTTCCCTTTTAGATCTTGGTTATTACCCAATTCTGGCATCTAATATTAGGAGTCAACAAGTTATAAGGTAATGTTTTCCAAAGTGTATTCTGAGAAACATTAATCTGGCAGGATGTTCTGTGAAAAATAGACAAAGTAGGTCAAATAAGTTTTGGAAATTCTTGAATGCATGTCCCTCTTAGAGAGTTGCAATGCGTGGTAGCAGAGTGAGGGCTCTGGAAAGTCCAAAACTAGGAAACCTGTTTACTGCAGTACTTTCTAGACTACTTTCCTCCCTGTTAACATCCTGTGGTGTAGACTTTGGTATAAAGGAAGGAGAACAGGCTCTGGAGCCAGGTGGCATGGGTCTGAACCCCAGCATTGCCACTTCCACAGGTGACCTTGGGCTGGCCACTTTACTGCCTGGGCCCAGTGTCCTCATCTGCAAAATAGGACTAATCATAGGACTTATTCATGGGGTCATGGTGAAGTTTAGTGACGCAATGTTCGTAAACTAACTAAGAGTGTGCCTGGTACACAGCATTAGTTTTCTTTCTTTCCACCTTCCTTCTCACCACTAGCTCAGAGATCTCTTAACCTGGGCCTCGGTTTCCACATCTGTCGAGTGGCAGTAATGTTCCAGGCTCCCTGAGTGCATTGTCCTGAGATGAGAGGTGTGAGAAGACTTAGAGAGATTGCCCATGGGATGGTGCATGCAGCCACTCACTGAGATGATGGGGCCTCTCTGATCTCTCCCTCATCTTTTCCTCTCAGGCAGTCCTTGGAATTTTGCCTTCACAGTCAAGTTCTACCCCCCTGACCCAGCCCAGCTGACAGAAGACATCACGAGGTGAGGGCTGTGGAGGGAGTGGGCAGGCATGCTGGCCATGGCCCTGGGAGACAGTCCGTATAGTACAGCAGTTGCAAACGCAGCTGCCTACTGAGGCCAGGCACACAGCACCAACAAAGGAGGCAGACTCAGTGCAGGAAAAGCAATGACGCAAACCCAGTGGTCAATGGCAGCTGACCCTTGACTTCAGAGGAAGAGCTATTGCAGGGTGCCGTGGGGCCCATTGTGAATTTAAGAGGACAGACGCCACCTAAAACAGTTGCTGTTCGGCTTCAGGCAGTCACTGCTATGTGGGAGTTGGGTCTGATTGTTGAAATGAAGCTAGAGATTTAAGAGCAAAAACCACAATCTTTTTTTTTTTCCTTTTTGTCTTTTTTCGTGACTGGTAACGGGATCGCAACCCTCGGTGTCGCGCCCGCACCGCACTCAACCAGTGAGTGGACCGGTCTCTATATGGGATCCGAACCCTCGGCGGGAGCGCCGCCACACTCCCAAGCGCCACACTCTACCGAGTGCGCCACTGGGCCGGCCCAAAAAACCACAATTTTTAAATGTTGGCAACTATTGCCAACTTTTTAAAAGCATTGTGTGGGCCATCTATGGGTGGGACATGCCAAACACAGGTGAAGGCTGACATGCTGGGTGGACCACCAGTGTGCAGTGTCGGGGATATGGAGAGAGCAGAGTGGCAGTGCCTTTGCACATGGGACTTTGGTCCTACATGGCTCACTGTGCACACGTCAGGCTGTGGAGGTCAAATGAGGCTTGTGACCCTCTCCAAGGAGGCAAGCCTAGGCTGCTGGGGTGAACATGGATTGTGTGTGCAGTCTTGTTGCGCCTCAGGGCCAGTAGATAACATGGCTGAAGATTGGATGGGGGTGAGAAGCATCCTTCAGGATGGGAGTTCCCATGGGGCTTATCCTGCCTCTGGAAACCAGGATGGGGAAGGCCCTTCTCTCTACCTAAACCCCTTTCAAAGAGATAGTGTCACTTGATGATATCGTGAGTCTGTGTCATCCATGTGGTGGCCCTGAACCTCCGACAATAAGATGTGGGCTTGGAATTCTCCTACAGTCGGGGAGGGGCCGTTAAGCCAGCTTCTCTCTCATTGGATTCCTCCTTAATGACGGCTGCCTGTTTGCCAGGCCTGGACCAAGGTCAAGACGCTGACTCTGTCCTTGGGAGATAAGACAGATGTTCCTGGAATGGATCTGGCCCTGGGCCTTGGCCTCATTAGCCCTGTTCTGAACCCTGAGGTCAGCCTGAAGCCAACATGGCAACAGCAGGGTCTGAACTCCAATCCCAAGAGGGCTGAGAGCTTTAGGCCAGCACAACCCCCTCTCTTGCCCACCGTGCCTCCTCTCTGTGCCAGACTGTGGGCATGAGGCTTCCAGGGACACCAGGAGGGAAGTTAGCTCTGCCCAGCACAGATGGCCCCAGACTGATTTAATCAAAAATAGTTAGGTCCAAAATAAACTGGTCAAAATGACGGATTGAAATAAAAGATTGGTCAGAATGTTCGGTTGTGACTTCTGAATTTTTAGTCTTTTGAACAAAATGCCCATAAGCCCTTCCTCGGTGCCATGATATTTGAGCTACTGCTGATTCTGAGCCTACACCTTGGCCCTGAGCACATACTGACAGTGCTCCTACTTCTTGTTAGGGCTTCAGTTATGACTGCAAAATAATGTCACAGAGCAGTAAGAATTATACTAAGTAAAAGCCACTGAAAAGGAAAAGAAATAGGCAATTGAAAAAAAAATGGTGAAATATAGTAAAAACGGGCAAGGAGGCATCATTGGCTGAAAATGAACCAAACATTTAATACACAATAACTGAAAAAGCAAAATGGTCTTAAGTGTTTCCAAAAATTGTAAAATCATCCAAAATGTGCATAAAGGTTATAAAAAAAATCATGGCCCAGTGGTTGGAAATGTGTCTTTAAACCAATTTGGTTTTAGACGATTCACTTAGAGCTGGAGGCAAAATAGAAAAGTTTTGGGAAAGCATTGGTAAGCAGGTTTATCCAGGCTATGGAATACAGTGTGGAAGTTAAAGTGAATGAGACAGAGTCACATGTGCTGACATGGGAACAGCTCCAAGGCATGCAGTTTGGAGTGACTGAGCGAGCTGTAGAATCAGATATAGGTAGGATTTGATGCCATTTACATGTTAAAAACATGCATAAATCAAAACCACATGCATTTCTGTATATTGGTAGAGAAGAAATGTCTAGAACACCACATGGATAACTGGTGACCTCTGGGGGAGGGGGTTAGGAATGAGAATGAGCATCAAGAGGAGATTTAGAGTCATCTTTCAAGTTTGCATTTTTTCCACAGTATGAATATATTAATTGTATAGTTAAAACTACATAATATTTTTTTAATGGCCAACTAGCAAAGTAAACTATTTAGCTTCAAAATAAGTTAGAAATCAAGAATTCTCTTACAGTAGAAAAGATATCCCTCAAATGTAGAAATGAACAAAAATGTTTAGTCATGTGAAATTCGCAAAACCATCTCATAGGACACACCCAAATTGTCAACACATGAAAAGCCAATGACTAGAAACATCTTTTTCTACTAAGCCGTGTACCGATCCTTTGGTTCTGAAGGGCCAGCTGTGCTTGGGGGGGACCCAGGGAGGAGGAGGGCCCCAAGCCCATGCACACTCTCCCCTTCTCCAGATACTACCTGTGCCTGCAGCTGCGGGCAGACATCATCACAGGCCGGCTGCCCTGCTCCTTTGTCACGCATGCCCTGCTGGGCTCCTACGCCGTGCAGGCTGAGCTGGGTGACTATGATGCTGAGGAGCATGTGGGCAACTATGTCAGTGAGCTCCGCTTCGCCCCTAACCAGACCCGGGAGCTGGAGGAGAGGATCATGGAGCTGCACAAGACATACAGGTGAGGGGCCAATCCCAGGGCCTTCCGTGGCTCCTGGGCTGGTTGGCTGGAGCTTTCTGTGCAGGCCTGAAGGGCCTAGGCCCCTTGGATGCTATGTTGTATGTACTCCACTTGTCTCTGCCCTTAACTTGAGGTGTGTCTGCAAATACAAATGATAGTGACTAGGTGTGTGACCTTAAATGACCTCTTGGGGCCCCAGTTTCTTAAGCTCCTGCATGGGTATGATAATTCCCTATTCTTGGGAATCAATTTCTTTGAGAAACTCTGAGAATCAGTTTCTTTATCTGCCAGCTGGAGATAATAATAACTGTTGTGGCATTATTATCATAGAGATAATAATTATTGTGCCTTTTGGGGTAAGTGTACTGATGTCTAGATCTTAGTGTAAAGTTCAAAAGTTTGGACTGCTTGGGTTCACATGCTGGCTCTGTCACTTTCTTTTTTTTTAAAGATGACTGGTAAGGGGATCTTTTTTTTTTTTTTTCCTTTTTGTCTTTTTTCGTGACCGGTAACGGATCGCAACCCCCAGTGTCACCCCCGTACCGGGACCGGCAAC